CGTTAATGGCCACCCAGGAGCCCATGCCGAAAAGGCAGGCCAGCACATGGGTCAGCAGCGACATGACGAAGGTGGGCCTGAGCAATAAAGATGAGTGCAACCTGAAAGAAAACAACAACAGAAAAAGATTTTGTTTATGAAAGTTGAAGGAATTCCGTTTAAAAATGGGACTTTTTAAAATTTCAAATTCTGCATTTTTGAAACAGGTAGTTTCTCTTACAGTGAGAATTTATCACATAAAAACAAATGTTGAACCTATTAACTTGCATATTTTATATGTGTATAAACTACTGAGTTCCAGCAATCAATTATTAACAGGGTGATAAATAAGAAAGCAAATAAGAAGTCCTATAATATAAAAAATAATTCACAAACTTTTTCCACTTTAATGTAACATTTGTCTTGAGCAATTCAATTGAAAAAAAAATGGCAAAGGGAAAAATAAATACATGAAAAGATGTTTGGACAAGTGTGCATAGCCTTAAAGACCAATACATAGCAATAAATTGTCAAAGCAACTTTGAACTCAGTCGTGTTTGGGATGCATCAGGATGCCACACCTCAACAGTAATATTTACCCTTCCTACCTTGCTATTGTTCTCCAAATCGAGTGTTATTTTTCCGCCTCAGTGTTGAACAGATTTAGCCCTGAACTCTGGCTAAGCCGTAACAAACCTTTACTCTTCTTCTGTTGAAGTCAATCTTTTGGTGATGTGTATATACTTGGACTCACTGGGGTGGTAAATATAAGATTTACGATGCCAGTGGTAATTTGACTGGTGTTTTTGTCTATTCATGACCTAATCCACCTTGAAAAAACACGACTGTTTTTGCAGTGTGATGCTGCCACCTCCTTGTTTTATTGTAGGATCTGGTTGGTGTTTTTTTTTTTTTTTTTTTTTTTTTTTTTGCCAAAGGTTGTGCAGGGAGTACTTCAACTAAAAATATTAGCCTAAAGTTGAGTGGAAGGAAAAAGCACGGTAGAAAAAGATGGACGAGGCTAAGTTGGATTCCATTGTAATTCAAACTACAAAACGTAACTGGGGTCACATGTTGTAAGAGTCTTCATTTTATTAAAAGCCATTTTGGCAAACTACTTGGTCAATTACCGACACTTTGTAGTTTGATCCATGTTGGAGTAATAGAATAATATTTGTGTGAACAATTTAACAAGTTTTAGACTGAAATTTGAAACCTGTACCTTTCCCCTATTCCCGACTCGGTCCAAAAGTAGTGAAATGTTAGCGCGAAAGTGCATGCTCTTCAGAGTCTGCATGACTGCCCTTCTGAATGCCTTCCCCTGCCTCTTCTCCCATCCATGTGCTTTCTAACTATGGATGTGTGTGTGTGACCTTTCACACACTGACACACTGTGCGCTCCCATAAAAAGCACCAAAGCTATTGGGGACACAAACTCACACAATAGAGGGCAGTGGCGTGTCATTCGAGGCATGTTGCTTTCTTGTGTCAGGAACAAAACACAGAAACAGCTAATGTTTCAGAAAAATCATTGAACGACTGAAAGATTGCGGCTCTGTGCCTTTAAAAGCAATATGTTAGCAAAAGAGGTTTACTGTATGTCAGTAAACAAATAAAAAGAAAATGTGGTAAAAGGAAATGATAGAACTCAGAAAGCTTAGATTAGTCAAGACAATGATGTTACACAATGCTATATGGGTGGAAAAGCAGGTTTTACTTCCTGGACTTTTGGATTGAAATATTTATTCTAACATTACTATCTGTATCCCTGAATGGGACAGATGGAGTCAGAGGCGTCACGCTTTAGTGAAAACACTGCGACCATCCAATAACCTTCAGCTCTTTGTTCAGGTGAATGTAACCAATAGGAAGCTAAAGCCATTCCCTTACCTGGTTCAGAACATGAGTATCAGCTCCTATCAGAACTCTCTCCTCCTCAAAGTCTTCACTCCTCTAGTTTCACTGGGGTATTTTTTCTTATATTTTCCACCCGCGTGTGTGTGCGCAAGACCCCCCCCTCCCGCTCTCTTTCTCACCCCAACACACACTCGGACTCGCACGCTCAGCTTCCGCGTCTCGACTGCCGGGGAGGCGTGGCTAACCGCGCGCGCATGCGCTCTACCGCCCTGACGCTTGCGTCATTTCTCCGTTCGAGAGCGGTTTCGAAACCGGGCAACCGTGTGTTTCATGGAGCTCTGTGATAGGAGGAGAGGCAGTGACGTAAAGAAGCTCCGCCCTTCCTGACTGTAGAGTCCAAGCGAAACAGAAGAGCCGAACTTCAACATTTCGAGAACTTATCGTTCCTTTAAAAAAGTGAATAAATCGCGACGTCTGTGTGTCAGCTGCTCCTTCGTTATTGTGAGACTGCCTGAGTTTCACAATAACGATTAAAGTTACTCCACCAAAATGACCAAACGTGATCATCTAGTTTGGATTTCCCTCGAAATTCACCTTAAACAGAAATGTTCCTCAGAATGCCTCCCCCACAACGCCCAGTCCTCCGCACCTCTTTTCTGCCACAACAGTCAAAAGGTGTGTCGCATTGTCTTGGCATCATTTTAAACACAGTTTGATGTATTTAGATTGAAAACACTGCAGGAAAAAAAATTGCTGCAAAATGTTATGATACTCTTGTGAAATCAGGTTGAATTTCCTTCATCAACTCACACAGTACAAAAACAACTTGGTCCAAGTTATGAGACACGGATCCGCTTGCATAAGGTGGAATATGTGGTGCAAATCTGCACATTGTGAAGATTTAAAGCCATGTTGTAGACAAATGGCTACAGAAGATGAATTTTAAGTCAAAATTGAATATGCAAGTGAGTCTAAAAAGTATTTGTACTTTTGAGTTATTTTGTTGGAATTTACCTTCACCAAAGTAGGTGAAAATGCCTCTGAACTTATATTATTCAACAGGAAAAAAAACAATCTTAAACTGACAATAAAACCCCAGCACAACTAGTTTTTCCAAACATTCACTACGGTTCTAAAATTGCACAGAGGTTGCATTAAGAAAAAAAGACAAAATCTTAAAGAACAATCTGCATTTTAAATGAGCTCGCTGCTAACTATCAGGGAATGCAATAAAACATATGATTGATCAAAATAGACAGCACCTACCTGGCTGAGTGAATGCAAAGATACAGTCAGTCCTGGTTACACAACTCCTGCACCGCTGCAAAGTTTAACACGGCTGCATCCTTGTAATGTTGCTGTCTGTGAAGAATGCACTCAGAGTTGTAGGTGCTGAACTTTGCCAGTCTAAATCTCTGTCATGTGACCACTGAAGGCTGAGCTGGAGGTTCGTGAAGTTTGTTTCCCACGGAGGGAGGAATAAGTGGGAGACAGCACGTTTGTGGAATAGTGAGTTCAGACACTGAATTATCGGCGAAATCGACAAAAGGAAAAATAAACGCCTTGTTGGATTTCTGAACGGATTTGACTTCACTTCAGCTTTGGGACGTGTGAGTGGACAGCCAAGCAGAAGTCAGCTCTGGACGGCTCTCCGTGCCCTCTGAGTGGGTGTCATGGCGGGGTCACTCTGGCATTTGTTCAACACACATTCCACCTCAGATGATTGACCCCTGTGGGGTCATAATGTCACTGGATTTCATGTGATCAGTGCCATTGCTCCCACCTTTGTGCTGGCTGGAACTCCATGTCCCCTTCCTGATGGAAAAACCACTGAATTCTTAGTTGACCCATGACTGCTGAAGAATGCAGAAACACTTTTTAATTACGCTTCAAAAACTATCGGGGTCGAAAACAACCTAAATTGGGTCAAGTTATTTATCCTGACCATGGTTTCATTAATTTGATATGATCTAAAAAAAAATAGGTTGTTTAGCACTTATAAATGAGTTAATGTCGCTAACACTAGGCTAAGGCTAATGTTATTATTGTCTGTGAATAAAATTGTTCTCTAGTTTGCATAAAAATTGTTGTACAGCGTCTGTTTTACCATCTTATCAGTTTCAGTAAAGTTTGATCAGTTGTTTCTTTTAGTTCGGCATCTGGGTTAAAAAAAAAGAGAAAAGAAAAAACAAAAAAAGATAGGCCAGTGGGTTTTATGTAACTCTCAGCACCTGTATAGGCATCTCAAAGTGGGCTGAGAGTCAAAGTGAATATTTATCCAGGACTGCAATGCTCTGCTTTCTTTCTCCAAACCGCTTAAACAAATAAGTAGGTGTTTTTTTGGCACTGTTTGTTCTCTATGGGTGCATCTGCAAGGTCAGCATGTCAGCAGGAGGGCAGCTCGAGCTGGGAATTCACAGATTAAATTTCTCCCATCGGGATTTTCAACACTGAAAAAGATATGCAACACATTTGACCTTCAGCCTCATTTTCTACTTAAAGAGACCATTGGGGTTGGAGGACACAATCTTTCTGTTTTGCTCTACAATGTGGTGGAGAGCATATCAAGGTTTCAAAGTGTCCAATAAGAAATAAGTAGGATAGTTTGGTGTTAGGCTTTAAGTTTCAATACTGTACCATAGCTACATGTCAACATTTGTCTGATTGCAGTTGCATCAACAAATAAACCAACAGGTCGTCACGTTTGGACATGTCTTAGCTTCACAGGAAGCTCATACTAACTGAAGAGAGCATTCCAGTCATGGTTGTGGGATTCCAGTAAATCCACCAAGGAGATACTGATAATTAATAAACGGAGAGTCCTGGAAAGGAATAGTCAAAGTTCAGATCTCGACCTCATTGAGATAGGCTTTACATTTCCATTCTGCTGCCTGGAAATTGAGTCGTCAGGATGTCATGTCAATCAAGAGACTATCATAACATTCTTCAGTCAGAAGCCTTTACAGATTTGCTGCAGGATTGACTGCTGCTGGATCCTCCCTGTCCACACCATCAACATCAACAACACCCCTCTGAAGTTACTTGAATATGGCTTTTGGCAATTTCCTGTGGGATAAATTCAAAGAATCTGTCCTGACTGAGCAGAAATTATTTTCCTGTCATTGTTTGGTTCATTCTCAATTAGGAAACAACACGACACGATATTAAAAGCTGTCACAAAAACTCTTGATTTTATTACAAAAACATGTTTCTGTACAAGTGGATGTAAAATGATTAGTGAGTATCATCGACATAATAGTCCCTAGATGTGTAGCCCGACTGGGTGCTGGATGTGGAAACCGTTACAGTACAGGAAGATTTGGCTGCATAGCAACAGGACAGGAAGCTGGCTTTTTGTTTTTGTACCTAACAGAGTATTCTGAAGTCCAGACCCGATCATCATGTAAAAACGCTTAAACCTTAAAAAGATTTTCTTTCTTTTCTTTTTCTGGACAACTGCATAGACTAGAAGTAAAAGGAGCAACTGTTGCAAATCTCAGGTAGATTAAGTAGAAAGCAATCCTTACAAATAAAGCACATCCGTTGTTGATAACGTTATGAAGTAGTAATTGCCCTCCAATGGAAGGTCAGAGTATAAAACAGGCACAACACGTCACGTAACTCACAATTTCTACCCAAATGACACACACCAGTCTTCCTCCGGGATTATTAGTGATCTTGTAGAGAGCTTGTTACACGTTTCCTGAACACGATTAACAACACAGAGCTGGGCTGAGCATTTCTAAATGGACGTTAGGTTAGACAAGTCAAATGAAATATTTTAACTATTATTTTTGCTTAAAAAAAAAAAAGCCTGTACTTTTACTAAAGGAAATGGTCTACAGCCTGTTTCTGTCCACTTCTCATCAAACACAGCTGTAAAACATCTTCATTTCTTCATCTTAGTACCAAATGCCAAATTTGATTCGGAAAAGAAAAAAAACCCAACATATATACATACATATATATATATCTATATATACACAGCAGACAGACACAGAAAAGTGCATAATCGTACAAACAATGTGCTAAAACAGAAACTCTTCTAGAAAAGCATTCAGGGTTATTCAGAAAGCAGTAGCTTTAAATGTTCACAGTAATGTTAAAAAGAAACACTTCCATCCACAGGCAGAAACATTCCTGAGAAAGTAATCTCTACAGATCTATTTCAGTGCACCGCTCATCACGCTATTTCCAGTGTATAAAGCACAAAATGTAAAACCATTGGAAGACACGTAAAAAAGGTAGAAGACAAAATTACAACACGGCCCTGCCAACAAACATCTTCCTTATTTTATGAAAATTATTACAAAACTTAAGGACTGTCACGTCGAGTGCTGTGAATAAGTGCTTTTCCCGTACTGATCCTTTTTTTTTTCTTCTTTTTTTTAACTTTTATGTCACTCTTAAAACGTTTCACATCAAGCAAAGTCAGATCTAAGACACACAAAGATTGAAAAACACAAAGTTCTGCTTCCAAAGGACAATTTCATGTACGAAGAGTAAAAAGCTACCCAAATGTAACTGGCCGTATGTGAAAAAGCAATTAACCCCATTTTATTGAATCATTTTCCACTAGTGATTGCTGTCAGAATCAGTAGCTCACTTAAATAAAACCAATCACGCAGGCATTTCTAAAGGTTGGTAGGGAAACATTTAGCTGGAAATAAGTACAGCGGCAGCATATTGCGAAAACGTGAAACTTTCGCACTATAAAATATAAACGTCAACATAGCGAGAAAAGTTCTTGTTGCAACGAGATATAAAATTGTAAAGATCCGTTAAATTGAGTTTTATTTCCCATCAAAATGATAAACTTTGTGGTTTATCATTTTTAAAATGACAAAGTTTCTCATTATGATGCCTGCTATATCTTTGTTCTAGTGAGATTTCGACTTTATCTACAGTTACACTGCAATCAAACCAAAATAGGTTTTCATTTAAACAAGAAAGGTCGTAATGGTGAAACAGCCACTGTAAGAGAGGAAAAACGATTTTAGGAGTTGTTTTTTTTGCCACCTGGCTGGGTCAAACTGACTTCAAACCCTCCCTATCCTTGCGTACGAAGCACAAAGTATGCTGATTGGACAGATAAGAACAACAATTTGTTCTGAAGTGCAGCAGAAAGTCCAACACGCACTCAGTCTAAGCGCTGCCAGGATCCTTACCTAAAATCAAGGGCAGCAATCTAATTGGTCAAAACTTTCCAACAGACATCAGTGATGGTGAGATTGTATAAAAAAGGTTGATTTTAGAATACAGTGAGATTTCGGGGGATTTTTGGTTTTGTCTGTAAGACAAATCCATGGAGTGTAATAAATCTCCTGAACCCGTCGTGGCCGGCAGACATTTAATTACGTCTCCGAGCGTTGTTTGTTTACCTGTATAATTAAGAGTTAAGCACATTTCATTCTCCTTCACGACACATTGCAGAATATTTCAGAAAGAAAACACATTTAGAAGACCCGAGACGTAGAGGGGACGTAATTGTAACATGACAACTGAACACAATTTTACATCTTCCCGCAACAAGAAGCTTTTCTGTTGTGAGAAACAAGAAAGCGTCTCGCAAAATAAACTTTGCGAGACTAAATAGACCTTAACAAGTTTATTTTATGCCTTAATGAGGATGTTTTCACGAGATTCCGCTCCTGCGTATTTTTCAGAGTTCTGGCAGCTGAAAACCTCCGTACGTTGGAATCACAGTGACAGCCATCGTCCGAAAGAGCGGGCAAAAATCCGTTCACATTAATATCAAAAAGACTCATCACTGGTTCTTGCATACTTGAGGCGGCTGTTGTTGTTTTACAGGGTGGCACGGATAGTAATTAGTGTATAATTATTTTTTTCATAAAGGACCAAGTTGGTTTCAGTAGCTTTTTCCCCAGTAGTTTCTTTTCCAAATAAATGAAACACTCATTTTAACTGTATTTGGTCTGATTTAGTAAATCCGAGGATCTGCGATGAGTTTAATGCTCTGAAATATTCTAACATGACAATAAACATCAGACGTGTGTCAGGGCCAATTCATTTTTCACAGCAGTGCAGTTACGCAGTGGTTTTGGTATGTTTACGTTTCATAATTAGTTTTTTGGACACTCGAGAGGATCAGACAGCAAAACAGGCTTCCCACGTTGACCTCTGTAGTTTCACTCTTTTTGTCGATTTGGCAAATCGCTGCGATGATCAGGTACAGCGTGCCGAAGCTTACATTCACAAGCATGAAAGAGTGAAGCTGAGCAAAATCAGCTCTGAAATGAGGACGGCTCTGGCTACCATGCAGTTATTGCTCATGCAGAACTTTCTACTGTCTACGTAATCAGGTTAATGTATAAAATGGCAAAGTGGATAAAAAGTTTTCGCTTGTCCCTGGACGTACTCCCCCCTCCGTCATCTGCATCGTCTCCATGCAGATCCCGTACAGTCGCGGTCGACTGTGCAGTCCATCATCACTTTTCAGGATCGCCTTTTCAAGATGGCATTTTGTTTTGTCGCTTTGTTCTTTTGCTCAAGATGGCGACTCGATGCTCCGATAGCTCTGCTTTGGTGGAGTGCTGCGGCGGGAACGAGAAGGTTGTCATGTGGGTAATCTCTCGGCTTCATCTGAAAACGAAAGGCAGAGACAGTTACCTCACCTTGTTATGTTACAAAAGAGAATGGAGAAACTTCAGAAGAGGCACAAAAACAACAACAACAACAACAACAAAAAAAAACTCCTGATTTCCTAACCTGAGGGTGAGGGGGAGTTGTCTTCCCCCGCTGCGACAAACTGCAGCTCTGACCCCAGAGCTGCTATGGAGCTCCGAGGACGGATACACCGGTCACCTGAGAAACTCCGGCGGAGTAATGCCTGAAGGCCAGAAATGGTAAACAGGTTAGCAAAGCTGTGGCAGTAATTGCAGAAGTCAGGGAAAGTTGTTTTTTTTAACTTTAATTGAATATTCTGCCAGATGTATTATCTAGAGTCTATCTATTAATATGTTGTCCAGCCCCGATCTAGAAACAGAGCCGGTAGAAGCCGTAATGATTTGTTTGTTTGTTTGTTTTGTTTTTTGTCGTCACTGGGTACAGAACCGCAGCGATGGGGCTGGAAGCTTGCCTTGCGTGTCATGGGGCTGGTGGGCGCCGAGGCGCTGCTGTAGAGGCTGAGGCTGGAGTTGGACCGGCTCACAGTCAGACCCTTTGCGGTGCTTCCTGTCGGTGACAAATACTTCTCTTTGATCTTCAGGTTGGTCCGACCTTTGACTGTTGATGAGAGAAAAGGAGAATTTCACTAAATTCTGTAACCTCCATTACTTCGTATTCATAACGTCCATTAAAATTGTTCCAGTGTTCAAACTGACTTCATATGAGCTAATTAGGATCATATCATTTATTTGCTTGTCATTATAAAATATTTGCGACATAGACAGTGGTTTATTATAGTCACTATGACTGAGATTTAAATAGTTAAAATAGTAAGCAGTGCATGATTTGATGACAGAACAGGGTTAGTTTCCAAATATAAAACATAACATTATTTATTTAACTAATCAATGTGGTAGGAAGATAGATTGATATGTGGTGTAATAATCCATTTATGTTAACTTAAAAAAAGCTGTGAAGAAAATGCCAAAGCAACACATTTCTAACTATAACTTCTAAACATTAAAAAAAACATTTCTGCATAAGTTCAGTCATCATTAGATGGATTTAGTATTGCATTTTGTTTCCAGGCAGGCAGACCTCTGCACGGGTCATTCTTAACCAGGAACTCATCGAGCGCCGTCCAGCCTCCTCCGACCCGAACCATCAACGTGCTCCGCAGGATCCGGACCATCCGCAGCTGCTGAGAGTCTCCAAACTGCAACAAGACGCACAGGGAACATGCGGCACATAACATTTCACATAGTGACACAAAGCAGGGCAGATAATACAACCCAGTCATTTTAAAAGCTTACGCTGCTTTTTTTTTTTTTCATTTACAACCAAATTGTTATTTATTGTATTTTTATTAGGTTTTTTATGCGTTTAACTTTGTCTTGAGCAGTGTAAGGCAAAATAATATTTTCTTTTCACTTTTATTAGTATTTTGATGATCTGTATGCAAAATACAAATTATTACTTTATTTTGCACATTTATGCCTATTTTATTAGTGCCAAAATAAACGAATGCCTATTTATTTTAACATATAAAATAATAATAATGATAATGATAATAATAATAGTAATAATAATAAACAGAAGATAAAATAAATATTTTTTTTCATTTTGTCATTGGTTGAATGCATACATAAATTTGCGTAGAAAATGATACTGATCACCTTTTCTTACATGAACATCACATAAATACAGTGAAGTTTGTTACTGTAACCAGACAAAAAATATGAAAAGGTCCAGGGGGTGTGAATACTTTCGGTAAATCATATTGTACAGCAAGGGAACCTTCAAACTTCATGTCTTATGGAAATTGTCTTAGAAAAGCTGTGATTGGTCCATATCAATCAATTGCTGTGCGTCAACAAAAAGAACTCACCCTGTATCTGTTGGCACTTATTTGTTCCACCTGGAATTTCTTGGGGCAGTTGCACTGTGATACCTGGCGACTCACCTATGGAGGGACAAAGAAAACCCATGTTAGTGACAGAAAATACCCAGCTTCACACTGGAGCTATGATGCGACTTCTGCGTTTACCTCTTCATTAATTTGATCTGCATCCAGTGTTTTCCTGTAGGGGTCTCTGCTAGGATGGAGCGCGCTCACAAACTCATAGTAGTCGATGAAACCGTCGTTGTTCAAGTCGAAAATGTTTGCCACTGCGTTCATCTCTAGAGAGTTGGTCGGAAATTCTACAGTTAAGACGTAGGACACAGAAAGATATGTGCACCTTTAAGAATCAGTGCTGAAGTCACCAATTGGAGGTTGAGCAAGATCAAAAAAAATAAAAAAAAAACAAGCATGAGAATTTACTGGAGGCAAGGACATAATCAGTGAACTCCTTCTGGCTGATCCGCCCGTCCTGGTCCCGGTCGATGCTTCGGAACACGTCTAGGATCCGGGACTTCAGATGACTGATCCACTGAATGTAACGCTTTCGCCAGACGTTGAAGTCAAAGTTGGCAAATTCCTCCATCTGCAGAGATAAACAAAGCACAAAGCGACCTTTACGCCAATTGTTCCTGAGAAAACAGCTGCCATTCGAGCAAATATCTTTTATCCGTGTTTTCAAAAGAAAGTGAAAGGACCTCTCTGAGCATCTGCTGGTGTTGTTCCAAGCGGTTCTGTCTCGCCACGGCCACTTGCCAAAGTTTCTGCCACTGCCGGACCAGCTGAATGAGCTGGGGAGTCTGAGGGTCGAGGTGCTCTAAGGGGACCGGTATGGCAGGCGGCAGCTTCATAGTGCTTCTCCTCTCTGTACATCAAAACGTATGATACATGCGTTTGCACTTGATGCTTGCGTGTGTTCACTGACTGCACGTAATCTCTAGAGCTCTCTTACTCGCAAACGGCCGCTTGATGGGGGAACCTCGATGCTTAGGAAGGCTTTTGTGTTTGCAAGACTTCGTGGCATGTTCGATCTCTGGGAGCTTTTTCTTCATTTCCCCCATGAACACCTGCAGAGAGCAAGTAAAAATCTCGTCACATAGTGGCGCATGCATGTCGTGATGCGATACTGAGTGAGTTTGCGTCCTGGGCAGAGGGCAGAGGAGAGACGGGTTGTACCATGTGCTGCTCAATAAGTTCTTGGTTCTGCTCTGTTGTCTCAGACAGAGGCTCTTCCTCTCTGAGGATGAGAGACTCCTCCGCTGATGAGATCCAATCCAAAAGTCTCTGGACTTCTTCTTTCTCTTCTTCCAGTGCTGCCAAGCTGGCCTGGATCTTCTGACCTTGCTGCTGGGCCCATGTCTGAACCTGCCTCCCAAAACAGGTAACGACAGCATTTCCTAAAGGTTAGCTTACATTTACCGTGACTGACTTTTTGGAGAAATAACTGTCTTAAAACAATTAACCTCTCGTCGGTGGATCTGTAGTTTTTATTGTGGCATGAAGACACTCACCTCCTCATAGCGAGTCTTAGTGACACTGATCCAAGATTTGAGGGTTATTATGGAGTCTGGGTGACAAGAGGCCAGGATCTCCTCACCCAGATTCTGGATATTCTCCAGTTCCACCGCTTGAGCGTGCAAGATACGTAATGACTCCTGTGCGGGAAAAGAGAATTGATTCATTTCACTAGTTTTTCCAACACCAAAAGCTTTTATGATAAAATGTCAAACACAAGCTGCTACTAGCTATTCTCACGCATTAATGTGGAGAAAAAAAGTCCGCTCTGGCTTCTCTGACCTCGAGCTTATCAGCAATTGCGTATTCAGCAGCAGACTCCCTGGAGCAAATGAAATGGGAAGCGAAATGTTTCCTCCCGGGAAGGCTACGATATCTCGTTACACTGACCTCGTGTTGCTTCTGGAAGGCAAGCAAACTACTCTCCTCCTCTGGTATGACGCCGTATTTCAGGATCCTCTCTGCTTCTGTGAGCCTCTCCATGAAAGAGTGAACGAGACCATCAAACTTCTCAGCCTTTTGGAGACAAAAGGAACACACACATTCAGACTGTCATACTGAAATCTCCAGGCACAGTTATTGCTAATCATAAGTGTGATAAGCAATAATGAGGCACGTTTATTGCCTCATTATATTGCCCATATATTGCCCATTTCTGGGCGGTTTAGTGCCGCCCAGAAATGTTCACGCCACGTCTTTGTTACCTGCATTTTGTCCTGTTGAGACAATAAACTTCAGGGTGTTTTACTTTGATGCCATGTGGCACATTAACGCAATGTGGATAATTGTGAAGTAAAAAATTAATGTAATTTGTGACTATCATTTCTAATGACTCGGACAATACATTTGAGTTGAGTCACTTCCAGTTTCATACGTCATGAACGAAATAATTGGTAATTGTTCTTCAAGTCTTGTTACTAATTCTAATTTATGTAAAGGTTTGACCTTTGACCTGGCCATTCAGACATAGTAATATGCTCAATAATATGGTAACAAGAGCTACTATGAACAATGGCTACTCCATCACTGTGATGGGATTCCAACTTCAACTATATTGACTATATTAATGCTGTTAAATTGGGTCAATCTCAGCTCTGACTTCCATAGTAAATTAAATGCTGCATTATTTTGGCCGCTGACGAACTGGCCTTTAATTAGAGTCATCTAAGTTAAAGGAGCTAATATAAATGTTTGCCATGTTTTTAAGATTTTTATTTCCTTACTTATTTTACTTTTTGCCTTTTGTGTCGCTGAACCGTACAAAGTTCCAACAAAACCTACCGAAGTTGTTGCTTTTAGTGTTGCGAAATGCGAAAAAAGAGAAGGGATTTTATTTTTAGAAACCTTCGCTTCCAAATACTGTTTTCAAATAAGTTTCCAAAACGTAGTTCGCTTTTGCCATGACAGAAATCCCAATACGAGAGTGAATCTGACGTGTCACCAAGCAGAGCGAAGCCAAAGCAGTTTGTACCTGCTGCAGGGCCGCCTCCAGCCTGTCCTGTTTGCTCACTGACAGTCTGCACACGGCGTCCCAGCGGCCCTCCAGCTCCTCCATCTGCTCCTGCAGCCAGTGAGCGTCAGCGGTGCTGCTCCGGGTCAGGTCCCTCACAGAGCGCTTCAGGGTCCGTATGCAGCCGGCTCGCTTTCCCAACTCCTTCTGGAAGGCCTGACAGACAGAAAGAAACAACCTCCGACTTGATTCCCCAGAAGACCAGATTAGTGAATATCATGTGGCAAATATGGAAATGCAATTGATTTCCAGCTTGTATTTAAATTGTAGACTGACTTAAATATTCTAAGAAAAAAGAAAATCTTAATTTTATTATTTTTTTTAGCAGAATTAGTAAGTACCTTATGTTTGTCTATGAGATTGGTGACTATGTCTTTGTCTCCACCAACAGGGACATCCTCAGCCAGTTGGGGCTCTGCTCTGTACAACCAGTCACTGAGCGCGTGCAGAGCATCAGTGAATCTTCCCGAGAACAGCAGGGCTTCCTCCAGTTTATGTTGTCTTAAAGACAGAAATCACAATAAGAGTTTTGTTTGTTTGTTTGTTTTTGTTTTACTAGACGTATCAGCAGGTAGAAGTATGATGCTGTCCTTTTTCGGTTTTCAGACCTCTCGATAGACTTGCCGCCAATGGTGTCCCATGTGTCCCTGAGTTCAGCCAGCAGGTTTTCCAGATGCTGCCTGTCGTGGCCACTTTGTGCTTTTTCGTGCAGGCCGCGGCCGCTCTTCAACGTGGCGTCGTAGATGGGCCTTTTTGATCTCAGCAGTTTCTGAAACTCCTGCGTATCGACGGAAAGGAAAACAAATGATCAGATATGTTCACGTGAAGTATTTCTTTTAAACTACAACCATTTTATTTCCTTCGGATTGAGACATGAACTCTTTTTATGAGATGTCAGGGAACTTTCTTCAGTTGTATGGATCTAAGAGTGCACAGCACCGCCCCTCCCCCACCTGTTGCTGTGTACATCTGGTCAGCTGGCTGAAAGACGGCCAACTGAGCTCTTTTGTAACGCTTTTTACACAATTTGCCAAGTTGTTAACAAGTTATACCGCAGCACATATTATCTTTTTAGAGGCCCACTTCTACTCTATAAAGTGTAGAACCGCAAAAATGAACAATAACCTATGAAGCACCTGAATAGCAGACGTTGTGACTTGTGTTTTAGGTTTTTGCTGGACAAAAATTGCCCCAGACGTTATTGCAATAAACAACAATGTTGTTGTTTTGAGACCATTTTCAAGTAATGCAGTGGCATAATAATGCAAGAAAACATTCTCAAAGATAAATAAACTTTAAATTATAAAGAGCATTTAACACTGGAACTGGAAGTGTTAGCATGTGATTGATTGATTGATTTACTACTTATTGCGACAGGCCTGCTTGTGTTTACTATTTTCTTGTGAGATTTATTATCAAATCATGTGCTTCCTCAAGTTATTCAATATGTAACTTAAGTCACAGTTGGAGCAATAGTTGTTTTTGGCTTTCAATTAAGTTGTTTAGTTCCTGTTTTATATTTATTTGTTACCCTCTGCTCATACCTTCTGCTCTACGAGTTGCTGCTTTATCTCCTCATGGGACGCTCCGATCTCCTTATGCGTGTCCAACGTTTGTTCGACCTCGGCCATCCAGTCCACAAGGAGGCGCCACGATTCAGTAAACTGAAAATAACAGAAAAAAAGGGAAGAATGCATCCCAGTCTTTTTTTAAGTGTCTTTTATTTCTTACATGCGTTTGTGTTGTTTTCACGTCTTCTGTTACCTGCTTGATGTGTTTCTTAACGTCCTCCAGCGTCCTGCCTCTCTCTGACGTTCGCTGCAGGAGCTTCTTGTGCCGATCCTGAACCGTCAGTATCAAATTATGGATGACGTCGCAGTCTTCCTTCCTGCTCAGCTCCGTCAACCTGCATCCCGTGTTCTCCACCGACGTCTTCTTCTCGCTGTAGCCGTTGACCTCATCCAGCAGGATCTGTCCCCGCAAAGCACACGCTTTTAGTCCAAACACACGTCCTTGAAAAGAGCAACAAAAAACCTAAGCGCGACGTATTTGATAAAAGCGACCTTATGCTCTTGAAGCTGTGTGGAAATTGTGTCCAGAATGAAACTTGGAGCAGGGAGATCCTTAAGAGACTCTTCACACTCGCTCATCTTTTTTAGCAGTTCTTGGACGCTGCTGTGAAACTCTTTGGCCAGACTCAGTCCCTCCGTAAGCTTAGCCTGCATGCAAAGAATTGCTCTTCAGTGAAAGCATAGTCAAGCACCAATGTGCCTGATAAAACAGCTTCGAAAAATAATTTTCCTTGACATGACATTTAATTGGATTAATTACTTTCCGCTCCTGGACTTTGTTGTAAACAGATGTCCACTTTTGTTCGAGTATAGATAAGCTGTGCTCGGTGCTGGACCCCCGCACAAGGTCCCCTCGCTCCAGCATCCCGTGAATGGCATTCCTCACATTTGTGTAGGCTTGAACTTTAGACTCCATCTCATTACACAACTCCTGTTGGACGGGAAACAATTTTAAAAATCCAAGAAAAAAATCTTTGCATTGACAAGAGTGACCACTCTCCTGCCCCCCTGGCATTTATATATACTGTAATGAACATTACCAAATGCGCATTAAGCCTTTCACTTGCAGAGTCTGGCATGCCCCAGGTGGTTTTAGAAGAGGACAGCCTCAGGTCTGTGTTTTCCAGCCACTGAATGAGATCCTGGATCTCCATGGTAACATCTTGCACCTGTAATAAAACAGGTTATACTTTAAAGGAGAAAACAATTTTTATTCATTCAGTTTATGTCCACAAACTTGTGATTGTCTGTGATTGTAGTTCCGTTCATGAAGTGAAAATTATATTGTATATATAAATAAATTTACAAAATTGCAGAAAGTTGGTTTAATAATGGCATTCAGTTCGTCTGCACTTCCCCCTCCCTCCCAAATCTTTTCATTTGAAATACTCAACAGATCCTTTATGGGAGTATTTTTTAAAAAATTATTTTTTAAATTTTTTATTTAATGTTGCATTACCGACAATGACCACCAGAGGGAATCAGACTGTCGTTACCTGACTCAGTCTGTTTTCCAGTTCCAGCTGCCTGCGCTCAGTCTCACAGCGGACAAACTCCCAACTTTCATTCACTTCCTCCAACTGAGACTGCAGCCCGTGCGTGTTGTCCCCAGACCCGGCCTCCAGCAGCTTCCTGCCAGCCTGGTTGAGAGACTCAATGGTGCGAACGTGAGACATGACATCATTACGCAACACCTTTGAAAAGCAAAACAAAAAGAAGTCCAAAAGAGATGAGAATCTTGATCTCAAGATGTTGTTTTTGTTTTTTTGTATTCAAAAGTCTATCACAGACCTTATGCTTTGCCAGCTCTATTTCACAGGTCTGCAGGTCCATGCTGACTGGCTGGTTGCCATGCAGTTGCTCGGCGGTTCTGGAAAGCCACGTTTGCAGCTCGTCCAGCGTGTTTTGAAACTGGCCCAGACCCAGCAGAGCACACTCCAACTGATGCTGAAAACAGAACATGGACAGAAAATGTTCACGCAATTATTGATCATTATGACATTAAACCAAACATACATTCACAAAGTGCCTCACTAGTTACAGCTTGCTAGCACAGGGCTGGATCTCGTTATGAAAGCCTTAGGGGCTCGTGGTAGGCGTTGTTCTGCAAGATGTCAGAAACATCCCTCAGAGATTTTTATTCATTTTAACATTTAGCACAGAAAAAATCTGTGTTTTGTGAAGATTGCGTCAAACTCTGACCCTTAATTCTGAGTCTCATCACTGAAATCGAGACTCATTGGATCAGGCGACATTTTTCCAAAGACGTTATCCAATTTGGAGGATTCTGTCTTAATTGTAGCCTCAGTTTCAGGTTTTGTAGACACATCAAGATTTGACGTGTCGTACATTCAGAGATGGTTGTAATGCAATTATGTCAACTGCAGAATATTCATACAGCGCCTTCATAGATGAAAAGAAACCAACAAAAAACAACAATACCAACAACATAAAAATAAAAACAAAAGCATGACATTAAATAGGTATTTTTGACCAAATAGCAGCCAATATTTTTTTTTCGTTTTATGTGTTATGTGTAAACTTAATCGTAACCTAAAGCTCCTCATGCTCTGTTTGAACAGCAGCAATAACAACAGTGAATGGTTATATTATTATGTAGTGCTGAAAGCATTAAGTTGCTGTTATGTGATTAGTTGAGTCAGTATTTGTGTCAACAAGCAATTGAACAAGGCATCCCCGATAAAGTCGCTTGAAGGTGTATGAGTTTCACAGAAAAGTCAGCTATCTACTGCAAAATCCCATTATTGGGAAAATATATATATAATCAAGTAATATTTTAGTCAATAATGAAAATGAACATTTCTCAATTAAACAGTTCCCACCTGTCTGTTCACTGTCTCAGACTCTAGACTGTCCCATCTCTGTCTGAAGTCGCACAGCGGAGAGAATGAGCCTGGACGCTCCGAGCCCGGAGACAACCGGCACACAAAGCGGTGGTTCAGGCTCTCCATCTCAATCTTCTTCTGGTACAGCTCTCGCTTAAATTCCTGGGATGGATGACAAAGGTTAAAACGTGGGAAGAACATTCAGTTGTTTCATGTTTGGTTCATGTGTGAACTCACCTTCAGATCGCATAGCTGCTCTTTGACAGCTTCCAGGTCAGTTCCCACTGCAAACGCCTCTGTACATCTTAACTCCGCTGACTTTAACCACTCAAACAGGCCCTGTTAGTGATACAGCCTTTGACTTATGTTACTTCAAAACTTTAAACAAGTTCATTCACCTGCACTTGAAGATGGAAGACCATATTTGACAGAAAAGCTCTGTGTATTGTGTTCCAACACTGACCTGCATTGTATCCTGATAATGAAGCGCCATCTGCAAGGAGTCCTCTAACTTCTTGTGAGAGTCACTCCAAAGTTTGCTTAAATTGTTCCATGTGCAATAAAGCTTTTAGACAAAATAAATAAAGGATTTCATTTAACTCTTAAACAGGGTTAGGAAAGGATTCTACTGAATAAAGTCTTCTTACTTCATCCATGCTCTTTGTGATGTGTGGTTTCTCTGTATCGCCACACGCTACCATCAGGTCCATTCCAAGAACACCAAGAGTGTCCAGGTCTCCTTGCAAGCTGTCTATATCCTCCCTAAGCATCTAAAAGGCGAGAAAATTGTCACCTTATATTCTCTAACAGTGAAGCTTTTATCATTTCAATGGTTTCGTGGCAGACCTGCACGCTTCCGAGGCTTTGCCTGATTCTTTCAGAGTCTGTCAGAGAGGCGTTGAGATCCAAAATGGCCTGCTGCGTATCGTTAAGGGCACTCGTCATATCGCTGACGTCGCTCCAGTACTTCAAGGCGAGATCCAGAAGCTTCAGCAACCAGCTCTCCCTCTCCTGAGCCTGCTTGTAAGTCTCATCCCACATCTGGGACAGGCTGGATACTTGATCCTGAATTGCTAAAAAGCACAGATACCGCTAAGGTGTTACTCGTTGCACAGCAATAAAGCGCTCTGGGATTGTAGTGTCTGAGAAGAGAGTTACTTGTGCCAATTGAATTGTCCCCTGCCGCCTGAGTGTTGGCCAGCAGTTCGTCTGCCTGGCCTTTGACACTGTTGAGACCCAGCTCCAGCTTGGACAGCTCAGTAAGGGTTTGCTTGTTATCTTGGAGCTGTTCCTGGATCCTTGGGGTGAGACCTTGCAGAGAGTTGGGTGTCTGGATGCGACTGCGCAGACGGTCGAGACTCTCTCTGATAAGGGTCATCCTCTCATTCAGCTGCACGATTGAAAGCAGACGTGAAGCTGAGTCCTTGTGAAAAACTCACAAAGTGTCAGACAAAAAGCCTACTTACTTGTGTGAATCGGGGTAAGGACTCCTCGAGGAGGCTGGCCGTTTCTCGGACGCGTTCTCTGATGGCATTGTGTTGCTCCTCGGCCGCTGTCGCCTTCAGAGAGAACCGCTCACCCTGAACGGGGTTCAGCTCTGACAAGCGCTTGGCTAGGACGCACAGGCGCACAATCAGAGGTCGGTGTTCAGCTATCGACTCTCTGAGACCCTTTGCAAAGCAAGAAAAAAAAGGTTTGATAACAGTTCGGCAACCTTATTTTTTTTGCACATAGAATAAACGGATTTAAACAAATCTCTAAAATAGGAAGAAAATGAGGAGAAAACACATTTGGCCTCATTTTCAGTCAGAGCAAAACTGCGATTGTTGTACATCAGGGTAACCGATACCCTGTAATTAAGTAGATTACATCAATGAATTGGGCTTTGGTAAATCAGCTCATTTGACCAATGAAAGGTGTCGGCATCCTAGGCATTAAAGGACTTCTTTGTTGACCAGGACTATTCAAATGTGCAGGTCTCTTCTACCTGTAAGAGGTCCTGTTTTTCCCGGAATGCTTCATAGTTAATTGTGCTCAGGGAGAGCTGGCCAATAAGCTCCCGAGTTTCATCCAGCCATGGCGACACCTCGGCCAAGCCCTCGGAGAACTGGGCCAGAAGCGACTGGGCATGCTCCAGCTGCAGGACCACGTGGGCGTTGGTGGCTGAGGTGGTGTTGCAGTGTTCCTGTAAGGCTTCCAGAGGCGTCTGAATGGAGATTGAACGATGTTTATCAACATCTTCTAATGAAACAGTCATGTTCATGTTCATATATATATATCATCATGAAATAAAGTCACAGTTTTACCTGAAGATCTCCAGCTGCTCCTTCGTCACTGTAAGTCATCAAGATTTCAGCGATCTTGACCATCTTCTCAATGTTGAATTTGTGCTGAAGGATTTCTACTGCTAAAATCTAAATCAAATGACATGTTTTGTTTTATTTTAAACACAATTCTTAAACATTCCCTGTGTACTCGGTTGCCCAAATGCATTTATTCGATGTGTTGCTTGTTGTCCCGACCTTCTGTTCGTTCAGTTGTTCTGCTATGATCTTTGGGTCCAGGTTAATTGTTTTCAGCTTTTCGAGATTGTGTGCGGTGTCTTTGAACCACGCCATCTCCTTCACCACAGCCTGTTCCAACTGGAAAACACAACCAGATGTTGGCGTATCAGTCGCATCATTGACTTTAAAAATGTAGAAGAGCTTTTTCTGGAATTAGTTCAAATATACACAAAAAAATGGAATTACAGAATCCCACAATAACGTAGACATCAATACCTATTTCAATTATTATAGAAGTGATTGATTATGGTTAAGAAATCATTTAGAAGAAATGATTTCCACCAGATCGATGGTGCCGGGTTCTAAAGCAATGAGAAATTCAAGAAGTACGTGAAAAGGATAGCCTGCTGAATTCCTGGGTTAAATTATTATGCCCTTAAATTATTTCATCACGCCTTTGTTGTTCCGCATATCGTGTACAGACACTCACTGATTGAAAACAGCGGCGCACCTGTATCCAAATACTTCTTGTGTAGATTCCAGTACTTGTCAATGGAGAACTCACCCTCTGTTTCTCAGCCGCACACAGTACTGCATCTCCTACGTGCGTCTGTGCTCCTGCTGCCGCCAACAGCTCCCTCTCGATGCGGCCCAGCCACAGGTGGAGGTCCTCCTGGCTTGAAGTGCAGCGGCTGGAGGCTTCCAGGGCCTGCTCCAGCCTCTGCAGCACATCCATGCTGCTCAGGTTTAGCACAGAGCAACGGATACGCAATACATCCATCTTCTCCTGCACCTGCTGGGCTTCCTCCACTGAAATGACAGTAAAATCACAGAACATGGGCGAATAATTAATTACGTGGCTTACCTAATGTTTGTGGTTAACTGCATAATAGCCTCACATGTGATAACAGCTCAGCACATTTAGGGATTACACAGAGAACTTGCTTAAATTCAAGGCAAACATCAAAATGGGAAAGAAAGGGAACTGATGAGAATGTGTAATTGTTGTCGGTACAAGAGGAGGTGGTGTAATATTTGAGAAATTTAATTAATGGGTTTTTACGCATAGTCATTTATCAGCTTTGGTAAAATGTTTCAGGAAATAGACGTGGCGTGGCAGCTGTAAGAATGAAAATTTCGTCAGAGGCCAGAAAATATGAGCAAACTGGTCTGAGGCGACTTAAAGGCAATGCTAATTCTAAGAACCACTCCTTACACTCAAGGTATGCTGAAGAACATCTATGTATGAATGATATCTCAACCCTTGTGACAGACGTGCTGCAGCAGTGGATTCCACTCTTGAAACTTCAGAAACTTGAGCTACGATTTGCACAAATTTAGACAATAATAGACTGGGAAAACCTTGCCCGATCCAGTGGATCTTGTTTCAGCAGCAACTTCCATTGTACAGTTCTAAATGGAATATAATTTAGTGTAAACAATACTAAAGCCTTGGAGATTTGGGGGCTAAAGCATTTATCTGGGAGTAGCTTAAAGGAGGGGAAATGCTCTTCTGCATCCAAACGATCAGAATCCCCCTTAAGCACCTATTTTTAAAACATTTTCTGGAAGATGAATGGTTGAATGGATGAACGGACGGCGGACAGATAGATGGATGGACTTTAACAAGTTCCCAGACATGAAATAATATCACGGTGCACAGCACATCTTACCTGAAACTGCTTCCTTTAAAATTTGACCTGACATCTTTACTTTTCCAAGTTCAGCCATTTGGACTTGAATCTCTTCAAAAACAGCCTAAAAAACGATTAGTATTTCCGAGTTAGCTTTACTGCTGTACTGAAAACACATAATTATAAAGTTGAACATCTATTTTACTGTTTTCAGACATACACCTATGACCACTGACAGTTGATTAAACCACAGCATTATGGCTAATGAGTTCACATGGTGGCTCACTCACCTTGGCCTTCTCTGTGGCATCCGACAGATGCAGCATCACTCTCTCAGCGTTTCTCAGCTCAGCCAGCGTCTGTTCTACAGAAATGAACCACTGCTGCAAGCTGTCCACTTCTTCCTGGAACTGCTGGGCTTTGGGCAGGATGAACTCCAGACATTCTCTCCTTCCAATGGTTTGACAATTAATCAGTGAGGTGTCCGTAGAATGATGCGGCACAAATGAAGTGACGCATTATCAATAAAAGTGTCGGACCTTTTCTCTGCCTCCAGCTGCAGGGCCTCCCACTTCTGTTGAAGAGTGGCGAGCTTGACCTTTGCCCGCTCCCCCTCTTCTCCCGGGTGGGCCTCTGCCAGCCGAGGACCCTCAACCATCACGGAGTCCACGCTACGCCTTCGGTCTGTCAGGAGGCGCAGCAGGAGCTGTGAAACCATAAAATATCTCCGGTTTTAAACAAACGTCTTTATTCACATTAAAAGCTTACCAATATTATCGTGCAGAAGTTACATTTACACTTTGATGCCTAAGAAGAAACACCAGGGATTCACACCTATTAAAACCCTACACTTTCTGCCTCTTTTCCGTTAGATACACTGAAATTTCTCTCATGTTTCAAGCTTGCATTGTCTGGACTGGTTTCATCCCCTCTAAAGTGGACATGTTTCTCATAGCCCACAGACATTTTACAAAGACTAACTGCAGCTCATTGTTGCGTAGAAGCTCACTGTTTCATCGCTAAACAGATCAGGGGTTATCTCACAAAGGAAACCCTTCCATACTTTAATCGTTCATTTTTATTCTACTTGTTTTAGAATATCAGAAACATTTCTTGACAAAGAAAGTAGGCAAAGTAGTGCTCTGAATGCCAAACCTTCTGTTCTTGAAGTTGCGCCTTCACCACTTTGACCTCTGAGGATGGAGGTTTCTGATTGGCTGTGAGCTCCCCTATCTCAGCGACCCAGGTAACCAAAGCATCCAGATTCTGAAGAAACATTTCAAAATTTGTGGAAGCAAATAACAGAGACTTAGTTCCCTATTAGAATGCAAATAATCATAGTTTAGGTAGATGTCAAACCAAGTAGGTCATGAGTTTAATTATTGACAATCCAAGAATTTAAGACTTACCCGCCACCTGTCCACACTAAAATCTTGGTCTGAACTTGACTGTCCATCGCTCTGGAGCTGCAAAGTAAAGCAAGTCCACTTGATGTTTCAGTTTATAAAACATTACCACTGAAACAGAATCACACAGCCAAAAGCTACTGCTCTAAATAGAGAGATGACAGCAGGAAATCAAAGCTGAAAGGTTGATGGAAAGAAAGGAAAGGCTGAAATGACAGACAGGTACAAATTGTCAAGTTTGAAAAGCAGCGTCTCAACCTCAGCAAGCTCCTCTGCCACACCGTTTAGGACTCTAACGGTTCTGGTGACTATGGGGTTGCCTCCTTTATCTCCTGTCGGATACTCCGTCACCTCCACGATCTCAGTCACGGTCGTCTCTGTCACCTCGGTGACTTCGGTCACCTCCCGTGATGCGAGAGTCTTCCATGACCAGGGGCTTCCTTCTCTGGAGTCTCTCCTCTGGAAGCTGGCCCTCCGTTCTGCAGCCGTCAAGTCGTTGTGAGCAAGGGGAGATCGAGCGAAGTCCGGAGGCAACGTCCTCCTCGTTAGTGTCCCATTTCGGGATGTTTTGATCGAAGACGGGCTGCTATGCCAGGCATTTTCCAGTGTACTGCTACTTCTGATTGTGGAGGCAGGGGAACTCTGGAGGGGTTTGTCTGAGATAGGCGTTTGAGCACCCTCCTCCCTCCTTTGGTCAAATTTATCAACCTCGCTTTCTTTTTCCACCACTTTTTCCTTGTTTCCATTCTCTCCGAGTTTATTCCTGGAGCCCTCGTCCCTTTTGACCACCCCATCTTGTTCGGGGGGCGGCCACTCCTTTCGTCGTTGGTAGCACTCCTTCAGGAAGCCTTCATCAGTCCTAACATGCTTGGATTTCTGGCCCAGACAACTGGGCCTGCTGATGAGATTACCCATAATCCTTCAGCCCACAGGCTATTGAGGCAATAGGTGAAGTCAGGCCCCTTGGCCATTCATGCAGATGATCCTTCAGCTACCTACAATAAAACAAGGTGCTCAGCATTGGTCATTCTGTACGTACAATGCTTTGCAAAAGCATTCATACCCCATGAAACATTTGCATATTTGAACATGTTACAATACAAAGTTTTCTTCAACAATTGTGGGAAAAGAAATCATGGTTTTAACTTCTTTTTTATTATTTTTGTTTACAAACAAACATTCTTAAAGCATGGCATACGGGAATGTGAACGTCCTCCCTGAATTTTAAAAGTTTTTCCTTCAAGATTGTCTTGTATTTAGCTTCATCCACATATACATGAACTCTGACAAAAATTCACAATCCAGGAGTCAACGTGAGTAGGACGTTTTCTGGGTTTTAGGCTCCACCGTCTTTTCGGTAGGCCAGAAATGTAATGTAGTTTTGTCTGCCTATCGTGCCTTTATGTATATGTTTGTTATGTCCACGATTCGCTTGTGGCAAACTGGACTTGCATGCCTTCCTTTCAAAACTGTCTTCTTGACACATGATGGACTGAATATATATTGGTTTTCTAATAATACTGACCACTTCAACTGCTTTTTATGCCAGAGCCACGTTCACGCAGTCACACTCACAAACAAGCACACAGTCAAACACTAATAAGCAATTCGGTTGGTAACTTGGGGATAAGTATCTTGTCCAGGGGGAAGTCGATATGCAAAGGGAGGAAGCTGGAATCCAGCCAGTCAGTTTATTTAGAATCAGACCAAATTGCAACACATATTGTCTTAAAGAACTTTACAGCATGATACCCACCCAAATATACCTATGTAGTGCTCCATCAAATAAAATCAAATTAAAACTGAAGTCTGCGGTTGCAACGTGGCAAAATATGAAAAAGCTTAAGATGTCAGAGTACTTTTGCAATGTAATGTTTATAATATACCCTCCTGTAATAAAATGCATTTTTATCACTATAATCCACACCTTTAAAAAACTGCTTACAAAATCTCAAAGCTTTCATGTAATAAAGTTTGCTCCCAGGATCTAAGCACTGAAAGACAAAAGAGAACTAAAAACGCTTCGTGGCCTTGATTCTCCCAGCTATCTCGCATCAACAACTGAAAAAAATCCTGCGCTTGAGATTGGCTGTGACTGCCTTGCGGAGGATCGCAGTGTTGAAGCTGGCACAGACAAAGCAATGGCAACCAGCCAACGCTTTCTGTAACTCAACTTGGATCGAGACTGGGAAACCCCGTCGGGATCGGGTGAAATATGACAGCCATAAAAACATCCTTTCTTTATGGGACGACAAGTGGATGGGTGCTTTGGCCGCCAGCTTCTTATTTGGCTAATATTTGTATGATTCTGCAAACACTCTGCTGAAGACACCTTTGTGCCTTCATTGTTTTGACAGAGGTTAAAGGTTAGTGCAATTATCCTGACAAAGACCGTCTGAGGTGGGCCCATCAGGAGATCACAGGGAGGGTTTCTGCTTAAGCAAGGTCCTCCCTCTGAGACGAGGTTACACTGCTCAATTCAGAACTATATAGGTCAGCTGAAGACATGACTGGTGACTAATGATCTGGTTGGGGGTTGATGAGAGGGGGTCGTCTAAAAGGAAATTAGAATATTAGCTTTCAAGACGTCCTTAGACTCCTATTTTTTGCTGTGAGACGGTCATGGTGTATGCCTCAACAATAAGTAATTGCAGGCCGATACCTGACTTACCATTTTTGGCAAAGACCTTTGAAAAGGCAAGCTTGATTTAAAGAATCTCAGCTCTTCAGTGCTGACACCGTTAATGCAACAACCTATGTCTTGACGTCCATCTAGAACTGATGTTTTGGTCTAACGAGATTTATACAGTTGATAATAACATGCTGATTGATAAACTGGAAATGTGGGTTGGAATCCTGTGATGTGCCAACTTATGTTTTAGATCTTTGGGTCCCAAAATATGCTCGGTTTGATTAGCAAGGCTCAGTGGGGCTAAAGAATGAAAGCATTCAAGAAAATTAGGTGTGGTTATAAAACCAATAAGCTGACTTCTTGACACTTCTTGAATAAATAACCAAAACAAGACACCAGATTGGGAGCTTATGGTTTCGTTTTTAGTAGAATGAATGATTGTAAAGGTGTCTTTTCAGTCTTCTGTAAAAATCCAATCAGGCACCTGCAGCTCATCCAAAATGCAGCTGCCAGAGCACTGACCACCACCAGGAAAATGGACCATATCAAGCAGGTCCTTAAGTCACTGAAATAGCTCCTTGCTAGCAAAAGAATATATGGCAAAAAGAAACTCGATGGGCAGAAACAGTTGTTTTGCAGAAACAAGTTTATTGAACCTTTCCTGCAAAGTCAAAATATTATTTTATCAACCCATTTGCTAAAGTGAGGCTTTTATTTGAGTTATTCCTCACATCTTGTTTTCATTGTCGTTTACGTAACCTTTTTTCATATTTTCCCAGTAAAGCACCGGAATTTCTTTCTGTACTAAAGTGCTACAAATAAACTCGTCTTGCCCGCCTTGCCTCGCCTCGCGGGGAAATGAAATCGTGCTGAATCTGCAAAACAACAACAACAGCAACAAAGAAATTATGCTGAGAAATTCTCACCAAAGAACATTTAAACCTGACCGTTTTCAATCAGTCAAACACATTAAAGTGCTTTTGTTGTTGTTGTGAGGCGAGAATTTCAAGATGACCCACTTTGATACGATGACTCGATGTGCATTGGTAATTGCCTGCATTACGCCCGTCTCTGCTGAGCAGATGATGCCGTCCCGGGGTGCACAGGGGAGCAACGCAGTCGGATCAGAGTGATGCCCAGACAAAAGCCTCAGCCTCAAGATCAATGATTACTTAGTTAGCTCAGATCCCCACCCAGCAGTCTCCTGAGGAGAGCAGCGGATGTCAGGCTGTGTCCCACATGGGTCACCAGCTCATCAGAGAGGGTGTGCAACGTCTGGTTACTGCGCCACACGTGTGGCCGTCTGCTAAATTACCCATTTAGTCTTTGGTGAGAACACAATTCGTATTAAGATGTGCTGACTGTTTAATTGTGCGAGGAACGCTGGGATGCTGTTGTAACTATGCTTACTTCCACTATCCCGTACAATGAAAGGACCTCAGAGGCGGTAAAAAGGAAGGCTTGTTCAATCACAATATGGCATATCCAGTAACAACTGTATGACCTACATTTGTTCAATGAAAACAAGACAAACACCCTCATTAAGTCTCGAGCCTGATTCCGAAATGTTCATCACCTTCTAGACAACCTTAGAAAGCGAATGAAGGAACCCATTTCAGTGGTTCCATCATATAATACATGACCAAACCATTCCATCACTTAACCTGCAGAGGTCTATTAGGTTTCTCTGCTTTCAGCTTTGATTTATGACTGCAGTCCATTAAGGAATTAACCAGGTTAAGGCCAACATTATGAGGGGTTTCTCCAAAAGCATAACAAGATAAAATTGAAAACAATGTTAGTTGTAAATGCAGATTAAATAAACAGCGTGTTTCAGTTTTACGTTCATTTCACCCAGAGTAGATCGTTTGGGTTCTGTGTAGTTCTAATGTCTTGCGTGTTTCCAATTGAGTCAGTCTAACGGCGCAAAAACATAAATTGTTGGATTTACAGCCAGACACAGAACAATGACAGTAGAAAGGCCCGTAATGTTGTCATGCAGCTGCCTGTTGATTTTCTCTTAAGGGAGGTCTTGAAGTAGTAATCACTGGAGTGGTCCCTAATCAAAGATGGCAGCTGTGCATTTTCCCATGAGACTCATAACATTAAAGGTGGACGTAAAGAGGAAGGTCAGGTGCTCCATTCAAAGAGCACCGTAAAAAATCACATCTTAGATTGCCTCAAAGAAATTACTGTGTTTTTCTTGGTTTATTTGTTTTTTACAGGTTTGTTGGCAAAATGAAAACCTCATTAAAGGAATGGAACCTAATAACACAATTGGCAACACAAACTGTTGAACATGAAGCAGCAAATGATTTCAAAATACTCACAACTTGGATGTCCCATTCACACATATGTGGCTACAAATGGAGAAGTGAGTCTTCAGGTGAAATACTTTATGCAGTTGAGATCAAGTGTTGAAGTCAAGACTTACTTTCCTTAATTTAACAGACCGGTAAAGCCTGGAGCAGAAATCTCTCTCTGTGTCGGACCTGGGTGCATTTTGGGCGGTTAGGACAACCCACGTGAAATTACACTTCACACAAAACGCAGAGCAGACCCCACGAGTCGAGGAATCCGGCCGGCCCTCAGTCACCATTCAAAAGGGTGAGAGAGACTCAGAGAGACAGAGAGAGAGAGAAAGAAAAGAAAACGTCTTTGTTTGAGCATCCTTTGAACGACCTCCGAGCCCCAACATCCCAAACCGAAGCTTCCTCAAACACGTCCGCGCGCATGCTCCCCTCAGTCAGGTCCCACTCGGTAAACCACGCTCGACGTACAAACACACGTTCCAAACACACATCGCACTTGCCCCGATAAACTCCTGCTTTTCCCGTTGCCCACAGTCACGGACAAACAATGTCCTCTTGCTCTCTTTCTCTCTCTCTTTGCCCCCACCAAACCCCGCTCCGTGCTCCCCTCCCCTCCTTTCACTTCACTTCTCCTCCCACCAGCTCTCCCTGCTCCTCTCCCTTTCTTCTTTGTTGTGGGAGCCGCGATAGAGGAATTCCTTCCCCTGTTAGAGCCGCCGTTGGGACAGGGCACCCAGAAGGAGACAATGCACGGCTGAACTCCCACAGCTCCTGGCCAAAGAGAAGTTTGTTGTTGTTTTTTTGTTTTTTCTTCTTTTTACAAAGAGGTTAGATTGGACCTGGTGCCATTCTCACCCAGAGCTGCTGCTCAGGTTGCTCCTGCACCAGCCTGCGACGCAGCAAAGTGAACCTTTTTACCTTCTCAAGGTTTTTTTTTTTTTCCCCTCCCAAAATCTACCCCCCTCTACCCCTGGTTCCCATCCAACAAAAGCCCCTCCAATGTGTCTGACTGAGACTCAGAAACTCCACGCTGCTTTTTGCTT